ATATATATATATATATATATATACGTGCTGTATGTGTGAGAGTGAGCAAGAAAGGGACGTGTGCATGGAGTGAGAAATCTCTCAGCACCTACCCGCCCGTTGTTTTCAGTAGTTAATTAAGGGACCAAGTTGTGTTGTGTCCCTTCTCTTATCTTTTTGTTTTTCTCTATATATATTTTTTAAAAGGTTTTATATATCACTTGGGGTATAAGGAGTATATCCTTTTATTTCTATTCATTGAAACCAAATCTTGGTAGTTTAGATTTTCGTGATATCTAGTGAAAAGCTCCTAATTGTGCCAATTTCATGCCTGTGACCTCATTTACCTTTTTGTTCCGAAAGATCATCTCATTCCTTGCCAGCTATATTGTCTACAATACAAAGCACCAAAGAGTTATCCATTCTTTGATGACTAATCTATCTTTAAATGGGGAAAATTATTGGTAGAAAGGCCCAATGATTTCCCTAGCCACTGAAGCTATTCCCCACCATTGCAAGCTTAAATTCCTGACTCTAGAGACAAAATTGCAATGTAAAAATAAATGGGTTGCGTCTTTTTGCACACCAAAAAGGCAACGTTTTAGTTGATTGTCATTCAAACTGTCTCTTCAGAATAAATTTCTTTCCGTAGAAATCTTGTGTCCCTTCTCTTATCTGTTGTGATTTTGTGAGTTATTGTGACCTGCGGGTGTGGTTTCGAAGCCCCCACACAACTTTCAAATTACAGTACTAAAAAAAATGTGCATTTGACGACTGCACTATGTATTCGATTACATTTTGCCTCAATTTCCGAACCCAAAACCCCTAATAAGCATCGCTTCTACCCTACGGGAAGAAGTCTCGGCCCTCCTCCGCGAAGAAGTCTCGGCCCTCCTCCGCTTCGGCCTCCTCAGGGTTCTTCGTCCAAGCATCCGCATTTATCATCGTCTACATATCATGGGATAATCATACAGGACACTAATTTGCATATTATAATTGTTATAGCAGAATTTTATTAGTAATTTGGCTAATTGCAATGTGAAAGGTTACTTTTTGGTGGTTTGACCAATCAATCTCTCTCGACTTACACGCCGATGTGTACTTATTTTAAGTGAACGGTGGAGACCATCTCATCATGGAGCAGACTTCTTTTGTATTTAAACTTTGGTAGGGTTTCTTCATATCAGCTCTCAGCGCACTATTAGAGTATTGAAGTACATTTGCAAGCGCATGCATGCATATGCATTCGTGCTTACATGTACGAATCAGGAAAAGCAGAGACCGGAAAAAGCCTGCAAGGAGCTATTTGCTGCTGTATGCGCGCGGGGGAAACGGTGGTGGGGAGGGGAGCTTTGAGCAGAAACCGATAAAGTCGATATTGAATGTGATGGTTTAGTGACTTTTACTTCCCAATCCTCTAACTGGATATGTACGAGCTCCTACATAGCCAGAGAAGATAAATGTTGCTTTGGCCTCTAGATTTATAAATTATTTAATTAATTTTACCCCACATGCTTATCCTTTTCCCCTACATGAGCTTAAAGAGATTTCTTTGTCCTTACATATTAAAGGACAAGCAGCACTCAATTCAAGGGGATGGGGCTTAGAGATCAGAAAACCACAGCCTTTGTCTTTGCCCCTTTAATATCCACACATCGATAATTAATTTCATCTTCAATATTTCAACTACTTATTTCGTCCGTCTTGACTTTTTGGTTTTGAGTGTGGACTCGTTTTTTGGTTGAGTGTGGACTCGTTTTTTGGTTTGAACCAATGAGAAATTTGGAGACGAGGGAATAGTTACAATATTGTTACACTGACAGTTTGAACTTTTGATAAAGACGTCAAGAGAGAAGGTCCACTTTCAGCACGGTTAAAGCCATAAATGTGAGTGTGAACTCGTTTGATAACGTTATTTATAGTGTTTTTTATACATATTTATAAAATTTTGTATAATTTATGTGTTTAGTAAATTATTAATCTTTATCTTTATGAAAATGAATGCAA